CAGCGCTCCGAGCGCAAAAAGTGGATCCACTGCTTTGAAAACGTCACCGCCGTGCTGTTTTGCGTGGCGCTCTCGGGCTACGACAGCTGCCTGGTCGAGGACAAGGACTCGAACCAGATGCAGGAGGCGCTCATGCTCTTTGACTCGATCTGCAACTCCAAGTGGTTCGTGCGCACCTCGATGATCCTCTTCCTCAACAAGGTCGACGTCTTCCGCCAAAAGATCGCGTACTCGAGCATCAAGCATTACTTCCCCGACTACGACGGCGACGATCAGGACTTCAATGCGGCGCGCTCCTACTTCAAGAACCGCTTCTGCCGATTGAACCGTTCGCCCACCAAGGAGATTTACCCGTCCTTCACCAACGCTACCGACGTCTCGCTGCTCAAGATTGTCATGGCATCGGTCACCGACATCATCCTCACCAACAACCTGCGCGACATCGTCTTGTGAGCGATGCACACTCTCTCTTACTATTGGCTCCTGATCCGCAACTGCTCGCGCGTTCACCCGCGTCGACCCTCAAGACATACATACCCAGCGTTCCGCACGACATTGTCATACATTCCCCTCCTTCCTTTGCTCCTTCTTGGACCAACTCGAAATGCACGGCAGCACGTCAATAGCGCATCTCTTTTGTATTTTTAATCCCACGACAACTCATCACATCTGCACAGTCTTTACCGACAACAGTCTCAACGGACGATGAGCTGAGACTGTGATTGCATGCAGTTTTACAAGACAGCGCTCAGTGATCAGTTGGCGGGCGGGACGATGGCCTTGATCTGGCTCTTTGCCTCGGCGGCCGAGTAAGGGCGGCGCGACCAGCGCACGTGGGTGGCCTGTTCGTAGGCATGTGCGATTTGGAGCAGCAGCGGCTCGGTCCACTTGCGGCTGGTGAACGAGAGGCCGGTGGGGGCGTCCGGGTAGGGGTAGTAGGGGAAATCGGTGCCTGGTTCGGTGGTGTTGGAGTAGAAGCCCATGGGTACGCTGATCACGGGGTACTGCGCACGGTCGGCAATCGGGTACAATGGCCAGTCTCCGCCCGAGGGTGAGACGATGGCCTGCACGCCGTACTTGTTGAGTGCGCCGTCGATGCCCATCTCGCGCGAGAGGCGGAAACCGTACTCGCGGTAGGCGTCGACAGTGGCGTTGGGTCGCGTCATGAGCGCCTGGGTGAGGTAGCCCTGGTCGGTCTGGTTGCCGGGCAACTCGAGCTCTGGATTAGCGATGCCAAAGTACACGATTCCGCCCAGATCGTACACGGCCGAAGGCACCTCTTTGAGCCCGGCAATGTAGTGTTCGAGGCCGTAGCGCATTTCGGTCTGCCACAGGGCTGTCTGCGAGATGTCGGTGGCGTTGTAGCACGCCGTCTGGTTGGGGTCGGTCTGGTCGCCGATGCACTCGAGCGTCACCTCGACCATCTCGGCTCCCTGGTCGCGCAGCACCTGGATCGAGCGCGTGTAGGCCGCAGCCACCGAGTCGTCGTACGACTGGATCGACTGATTGGCAAAGAACTGCTCGCCCGAGTAGCCGAGGCGCATGCCCGCCAGTGGCTTCTGCTTCTTTGTGTGGAAGTGGGAGGCGGCAGCGTAGTCGATGCCCTTGGCCACCTCGGGTGGCTGCGTCCATGTGGCGTTGTCGCCCGGATCGCTGCCGCGGTACGCCATGGCGGTGAGGAGATGTGCGACATCCTTGACGGTCCTCGCAAACGGACCCGCCGAGTCCTGGGTGAACGAGATGGGGATGACGCCGTTTCGGCTGATGAGGCCGATGGTGGGCTTGATGCCTACAATGTTGTTATAGCTCGCTGGGCAAATGATGGAGCCCGAGGTCTGCGACCCGACGGAAGCGGTGGCTAGGCCCGCTGCTACTGCGACTGCAGAGCCCGACGAAGACGAGCACGGGTTGCCAGCGGGCCAGTACGCCGAGGTGCCGAAGCCGCCGCGCGGGCTGAATCCCTGCGTCTGGTTGACCAGGCCACGCGCCTGAGCCCACACTGACATGTTGGCCTTGCCGAGGATGATCGCACCTGCCTTTCGCAGCGTGTGGATCGACGGCGAGTCGCCCGGGACGATCGAGTTGAGCAGCGTATAGCTGCCTGCCGTCGTGTTCATCCCCAGCTCAGCATCGGTGGCCACGTTGTCCTTGACCAGGATGGGCACGCCATGCAGCGGGCCGCGCGACTTGCCCTGCGCCCTCTCCTCATCGAGCCTCTTGGCTTCACGCAGTGCGGCAGGGCTCGTCTCGAGCACGGCACGCAGACCGGGACCGTTGATGTTGACCTCGTCGATGCGGCCCAGGTAGGCCTCGACGAGCTCGACGCTCGTGAACTCGCCGCGCGAGAGGCCGCCCTGAAGATCATCGATGCCCGCATTGAGCAGGTCTGGGAAACCTGTGTTGCGGTTGACAACGCGCGAAGTGGCTGCAGAGTCTGCGTAGAATTCGTCGTTCTGGCTGCGGGTGAGGATGATCTCGTCGCTGTTGGATGTCCTCGCACCCTGCAGGTACGCCAGCAGCGTCGCGAGAAGCATCACCACGAAGCTTGAGGAAGTGAGCTTCGCCATGGTCGAATACCTGGCCGGTTGTTGGTTTGTTGGTTGCGGACGATCTCGAGCCGTTGGCATCTCCTTTGTTGCCTCTCTTAAGTATCAGCTGGACGGGAGCGCTCAGTGTGCGCGCCAAGACCCGTTGTAGGAAGGTGCGTGCTGATAAGGACTGGCATGGCCACCTCGCTACCGACATTACGCGAAACAAGTCCTGCGAAGCTGCACAGACTGCCTTGGTGCTGTGAGCGGCTATGCACTCGATCCTCCAGCCTGCGGCATTTCAGCTCGCATGGCTGGGCATGCGAAGCCTCGGGAGAAAGATGCCCTCGCTCCGAACCCTTTTGGCGTCCCAAGTGCTTCAGCTTATCACCTTACCGACTCTGTGATGGGGAATCCTCGCTATCGGAGCATGCTCGTCCGCACCCACTTTTGGCGAGGTGGCCACATGGATTGCCGTTCTTCTCGGCCACTTTTGTGCTGCGCTGCTCCGTCCAACTCGCCGAGGACTCGCAGGATTGCTCGGAGAAATTGCTGCCAAAAAATACGACGAAAAAACGCGACCACAAATTATCGTGATCCCGATCGAACACCATCGGGTGGTACTGTGTATCGAGATCACGGCATTCCTCACAGCCCCTTGCCGGGCGTGGCCCCAGTCATTCGGCGTCCACGGCACCGACAGGAGAGCACTGGCGAAACACCACACACACGAGGAGGCATATAGGTTGACGCGCCCGGGAAAGGTACGCTGCTTGTGCATTTTTGGGTTGGATGAAGTGTGCAGGTGTGATGGTGTGCATGTGCGTGTTGCACGAGGCACGCATATGCCGGGAAAAGGGGGAGAAACTTGTGTACAAGGCGGCTGCGCAGTGCGAGACCGCAAAGCAGAGGGTAAAGGATCAAGACCCTAGCCTCGCACACTCGGCGACGAGTGTATCAGAGGCGTAGGGCAGTGTGCATGACAAGGACCGAAACGAACGAAAGGCGAGATACGAAAACCGTTTAGGCCTCGGTGAGCTCACGGAGACGTCGGATGGTGCTGAGGGACGAAAGAAAATGCGGGTCAAATGCGGGTCAGTATGCCGTTTCCAATCGCAAAAACATAAGGTATCCGAGTGGCACCGAGCAATCCAAAGAGCGAACACTCCAACCTGGCTTCCTGAACCTCGAGCATCCATCGCTGAAAGCGAACTGCGGGGCAAAGCTGGTGCGAGCCGCCCGTCTCCAGAATGATCGGCATTCGAGTGCGTCCGACGCGCGTCGTCACTGAGATGTGCGACTGCTGATCCTCCGAGATGTATGCAACCCCTCCCTACTGGTGCCTTCGATGCCACTGTTGTCAATGCTGAAACTTACGATCGGACGGTGGCAGCAGCCGAGGTGCTGAGGGTCCAGGCGCCGCCGGCCATGACCTTCTTGCAGGCGCGGCACTCCCAGATGCCGACAGCCTTGCGCTTGACCGAGTCCTTGCCGCAGAAGGTGCAAGTGTACTTGGAGTGCTGCGAGATCTCGATCTTCTTGATCTGGCGACGGAGCGAGGCACCGTAACGGGTACCGTACTTGCCGGTGATTCCAACCTTGACAGTGCGCTTCGACTGTGGTGATGGTCAAGATGAGTCGAGGTGGTGTTGGTCATGGGTTAGCACGACGCGTTCTTTGCTAAAAGTGAAGGTGGAATCACTCGTTCCCAGCCTCGATGCAACAGTGATGGCGAGAATAAGAGTCTGGCGAAAAGTCCGGGACGGTGAAGGATGGCGGCGAATGGTGGGGCCGTCTCTTTCTGGCTCTTCCGACATGGTGGCGATGGATGCCAAGCGGAGGCTGGGACTGGCGAGTTTCGGAACAAGCGAGTTGGAGCATGTATAGACAGAGCAGCACGAGACGATTGAGGGATGCCATGCGAATTGATCGGCGGCGCAGACTGCTATCGCAGTCAAGGTGTCGAGTGTCTGCGTCGGTTGTGCTTCACATCTGTGACTCTGTCGATTGTCGGATGCAATAGCTGTGCAGGATTTCGCTGTGGTTGCACTTCATGCCGGCGAAGGGTCAACTATGTGTAGATCTGGTGGATGATTCTGCAAAGTCGTCTATGTGCAACTGCGGCATGCCGAGCCGAGGATGCATGCCCTGAGTATAGGAGATCGACATGGCAGCAACGTGTGCGGTTGCTTCTGCTGGATTGGCGTGGTGCGGACGTCGAAGTGCTATCACTGTTGCATGTTGGCGAGGGTGTCGGTGTCGAAAGCACTTACCATCTTGACTATGTGTATGTGTGCGGTTGGTGTTGAGGAAGGTGCGACGACGACGACGAGGCTCCAACACACCCTGGCGCTCGGCCGCTCTCACACAGTCCGCTCGCTGCCTGCCCTCAGCACATTCACTGGCCTGGCCGCGCTGAGCGACTGGCAGCCTAGTCTTCGCACTCGAGCCGCCACTCGCCGGGCCACTGGTCCACGAGCCCACCGGGGAGACCAGCCCGCTGCTCTGGGCCTGTGGCTCGCGGTGTCCGATTCCCCTCTGGCTGCTAGCCGCTCTTTCGAGCTTCGAGCGCCAGGTACTGACTCTGCTGCCAGGAATTTTCCAGCCAGCCTGGGATTCAGATTTGTATCGGTCGTTTGGCTGGCGATTCGCAAATTTCGAGATGCCTGCTGGCCGCTCTCTTGGAAATCATAGATGCCCGGATCGTGGGAATTTTTGGAATTGGGCGCGGGTCCGAACATGCACCTCTGGCTTTCGTTCAACTCCATCGGGATCGAGCTTTTTGCCCCCCGATGTCGGGTTTTTCGACAGTGGCGAGGCGCGTTTTGTATGGCTAGGCGATCTGACACTTTGAAATTCCGAGCTTGGAAATACGGGGATGCTGGAATGCGGATCACGGCGTGTTGTGTTGCCGGGTGCGGAGGT